GTGTGGAGGGAATTATGGTGTTAAATGCAGAGCTGTAGTCTATGAAGAACATTTTAACATAATTCCCCCTTCTAGTGTCCAAGTGAGTGAGTGATGTGTGGAGGAGATGAGAGATGGCATCGTCTGTGGAACGATTTGGACGGTAAGCGAACTGTAGTGGGTCCAGTGTGTCTGGTAGTGAAGAAATGATGAAGTCTCTGACCAGGCGTTCAAAGCACTTCATCACTACTGAGGTGAGGGCTACAGGGCGATAGTCATTGAGAGAAGCTGGGTTCTTTGGAGTGGTCTGAGACCGAGGGCAGAGGTGCTGCTCTGAGATCCTCCCCTTGCTAGCAAGTAAAAACCGGTTAAGTTGTTGTCTTGCTTTCTTCACGGGTGATAAGTCTTTGAACTAGTGGGGCCGACCCAACACTTTCTCTCTCCCTTTCCCATTCCCCAGTCATGTCTGTCCCGTCTGAATAAAATAAATAAATAATAACAAAGATCAATCAAATTGACCAATACGGCAAGGCCGTGATAACAAAGGTAAAGTAAATCTGTTGGGTATCTTTCTTGGCCTTCACACAGTAATTCTGATGGTTAAAGAACCAACCGGGACAGGCAAAAAAAGAAAAGAAAAAATAAACAAAGTGATTGTACTTTGTTCCCACTTCTGTAGTTTAGCACACAATTTGTTTGTTAGCTAAAGGTACGGTGGGTGTATTTCCCAGGCAAAAAATTTATGTTAATGCATGGCAGCCAAAGGGATAAGCAGACTGTGCAGCTGTTTAGGGCCACCATGGTTCTCCAGAAGAGAGCTTGATAGTCAGGCAGGTCACAAGACAGGTTGATGAATGATTATTTATTGTGTTTGTGTATATCAATAGTAATCACACAGTTCAGCACTCATACCCAAAAATCTATGCAAAATATTTTGATAAATCCGTCACGATCACATCTTTGAGTCCAGTAAAAACAGAAATATATGTTAGTGCAAGTTCTCTATTCTAATGATTTCAATTCAATTCAATTCAATTTTATTTATATAGCGCCAAATCACAACAAAAGTCGCCTCAAGGCGGTTCATAGATACAGAGAAAAACCCAACAATCATATGACCCCCTATGAGCAGCACTTTGGCGACAGTGGGAAGGAAAAACTCCCTTTTAACAGGAAGAAACCTCCAGCAGAACCAGGCTCAGGGAGGGGCGGGGCCATCTGCTGTGATTGGTTGGGGTGAGAGAACAAAGACAGGATAAAGACATGCTGTGGAAGAGAGACAGAGATTAATAACAGATATGATTCAATGCAGAGAGGTCTGTTAACACATAGTGAGTGAGAAAGGTGACTGGAAAGGAAAAACTCAGGGGGTTGGGAAGGAAGCATATCTGTAACCTGAAGGTCGCTGGTTCGATCCCTGGGCTCTCTGTCCTGGTCGTTGTGTCCTTGGGAAAGACACTTTACCCTGCCGATGGCGCGATATGGCAGCCTCGCTTCTGTCAGTCTGCCCCAGGGCAGATGTGGCTACAACCATAGCTGCCTCCACCAGTGTGTGAATGCAAGAGTGAATGAATAGTGGCATTGTAAAGCGCTTTGGGTGCCTTGAAAAGCGCTATATAAATCCAATCCATTATTATTATTATTATTATCATCATGGGAATCCCCGGCAGCCTACGTCTATTGCAGCATAACTAAGGGAGGATTCAGGGTCACCTGGTCCAGCCCTAACTATATGCTTTAGCAAAAAGGAAAGTTTGAAGCCTAATCTTGAAAGTAGAGATAGTGTCTGTCTCCTGAATCCAAACTGGAAGCTGGTTCCACAGAAGAGGGGCCTGAAAACTGAAGGCTCTGCCTCCCATTCTACTTTTAAATACTCTAGGAACAACAAGTAGGCCTGCAGAGCGAGAGCGAAGTGCTCTAATAGGGTGATATGGTACTACAAGGTCATTAAGATAAGATGGGGCCTGATTATTTAAGACCTTGTATGTGAGGAGCAGCATTTTGAATTCTGGATTTAACAGGAAGCCAAAACAAGAGAAATCTGCTCTCTCTTTCTAGTCCCTGTCAGCACTCTTGCTGCAGCATTTTGGATTAGCTGAAGGCTTTTCAGGGAGTTTTTAGGACTTCCTGATAATAATGAATTACAGTCGTCCAGCCTGGAAGTAATAAATGCATGAACTAGTTTTTCAGCGTCAGTCTGAGACAGGATATTTCTTTCTTTTTCTTTTGTGTCCTGTCTGGCACTGTAGCAATCAGAATTATTGTCTGAAGGCCAAGAAAAATGCCCAACAGATTTACTTTCCCAAGTGGGCCTTTTGCTATACTAGTCCACTTGATTGTCATAGTTTATTTGATCTTTATTAGTTATTTTTATTCTAAGTTATTGTAATCAGACCAGACTGGACTCAGGGATGGGAAAGAAAAACAAGAAGAAAAGTTCAGAAGAAAGTTAACAGAAGGAGAGGGAAAGAAAAAGGAGAAAAGAGATAGAGAGAAAAGACGATGAAAATCTGCTTCATCACCTTTTTTTTCTTTCTCTTTTCCTGGATCACCTGTTGAGAAAAAAAGAAAACAAGCAGAAGAAGACTAGAGCAATAGAATAAACAACATCACGATGATCTATGGGAATATGACAGTAAATACTAAATATTAAACATTATTGTGCAGCACATAAGATCAACAGAACACAGTGTGCTTTGAGGTAGGAGCCAAAAAGGGTGTAGTTTGTGGGTGTGATCACCCGTGTGTACACCTGTGAGCATCAACGCGCTTGTTTTTAAAAGGTTCCTTCATGTAATGATCTGTTAGGGTGTGGGGGGGCCACAGCCCCGTCCTCCAGGGCATGAAGCAGGTATGGAGGAGATCAAGACTCCAGACATCCAGAGGCCCCCAGAACACAAGAGACCAAGGAAGACCAACAGAGGGGCAGCTGCGCCACTGTCCCAGAAAGAGCTGAGGAGAGCCCCAGATGAGGGCTCACTCAGCAGCCGCGGAGCAGAAGCCAGGGGGGGTTGCAGTGACGCGCCTGTGAGCTCCGCCGGCAGCCAGCTGTGCCTGAGTGACCGAGCCCCAGGCCGAGAGGCCGGAGACAGGATATTTCTAACTTTAGAGATGTTGCACAAATGGAAAAAAGCAGTCTTACATATTTGTTTAATATGTGCGTTGAAGGACATGTCCTGGTCAAAAATGACTCCAAGGTTCCTCACAGTGTTACTGGAGGCCAAGGTAATGCCATCCAGAGTAAGAATCTGCTTAGATACCATATTTCTAAGATTTTAGTACAATAACCTCAGTTTGATCTGAATTAAGAAGCAGAAAGTTAGCAGCCATCCACAATCATAATCATAACCCAGACTGCTCTGGTCTTCTGATGCTCAATTTGAACTTCAACAGCTCAGACATATACATGCATTGAGCTGCTGCCGTGGGACTGATTCGATAGTTGCATTAAAGACCATTTGAACAACGGGTGAAAGATGGGATCAGCAGCCTAATTTTCCCTAGATTAGCTATGCTGATAACAAAATTATTGAAAGTGAGATCATTATAGTTATTATTATACTTAACTTCATTGATAGGATGATATTAGGATATCAGGATTGGGATGAGAAGCTTTAAGAATTAAATTAATTTTGTCATGAATTGCAAAAAAGGCATTGTTAATAAAATGAGATGGGATTTGGAAAGTGGGCTCTTGATGAGAAGCCTGAGACACAGCCATACTTACCATGGTTAAAATATTATGTAGTATTCAGTAATGTTACACTGTCAATTTTATAGGAAGTTAGAATATAATTCATTGATACTGCAGTTGGGAAACTTGAGCTCTGTTAATCATTCTGATCATCAATCTGTTTTACAAGTCATGTGATTAGTTTTTTTGTTTTTTGGTCTCATTTGCTAGTGACAGCTACAGAGTGGGTGGGTGGGTGGGTGGGGAGGGTGGGTGGGTGGGTGGAGAGCAAGGAATGACATCCAGCATGGGCCCTGGGACTGGATCAAGCCATTAAAAACTCAAACTGGGAATAAGGGATGAGATCTGCAAGGTGAGCAAAGGGGGTGACCCCATACTTTGCATTTATAATCAGCTGAATTTGCTCAATTTTAGTCAATTAAAAGTATGATATAGTCATCTTATTGAATCTTATAGTCTTTGGTCCTGTCTAATATTTCACAACATTTCATATTTTTTAAAGGGAACATTTAGAAGCATAAGTAAAAAAGCTAAATAAAACAACATGGAAACAAAGTAAATTTTACTTAAGCAACCGTCACATAAATCATAATATTTGGCAGAAAAATGGACAGAGTCAAAGCAACAAGCAGAAATTAAGCAAAAATAAATAAACGGTGTCAGAACATGACAGCAGATAAAAGCAGAGCAGGCAGATCTGCTAAAATGTCACAGCCTTCACAGTCTGACCACAACAAATAAAGTGAGCAAACAGCAATAGTCACGCTGCCCCTTTATCTGAACTTTGAAGCCACATTTGAATAATGTGATGGAGAGATGCCACAAATGTTACAACATTAAATAAATAAATAAATCAGTGGCACTGTCTTGATTTTATGAGACAAATAATATTTAAGCAAACACTTGACATGTATGTAAACAACTGAAAATGTCAGTGAAACCTTATTTTTAATGAACCTTTTTGCTATTCTTATATAGCAAAAAGTCTTTTGGATAAAGGGAGATTAGTTATATGTCAGGAAAAAAAGTGAAAAGATAAACACATCGGCAAATACACTGCAACAAAATAAGATTGTTGTGAAAAAAATTCTATTTTTCAGTTTTACTTTCGAATGAAACGCAATGAAAATTTCTACACATCACGTCAGGACTTAGCCTGCCATATTTGAAGAGAACAAGGGCAGGTGACCCTGACTTTTCATTCACTGATATATGAGTGCAATGATCAAATGTCCAGGGGTTTGAATCATACCTTCGTGCAATTTGTCAGCACAAATTTCCCTTTAAAAGGCTGCTTACTCTGCAGACCAGCACCACCCTGTCAGCAATGAGAGCGCTCGTGCTCGCCCTGATTCTGGCCGTTGTGGGTGAGTGATGATGTTTGTGCAAAACTTTGCTATTTTATAAATATGTTCAAAAATAATGCTGATTTCATATTTGGAGTTTTATTGATTATGCGTTGAATGGTAATGTCAGTGTAATGTAGGGTCTTTACCCAACAATAAAAAGCACCTTGAAGCAACTGTTGTTGTGATTTGGTGAAATGTAAATAACATTTGAATTGAGTTGAATGTAGGTAAAGACAAATTATAGTTATGTACTTGTTATAAATTGGTAGTGGGTTTATGCCTCTTTTAAAAAAAGGTTTTCATTTTTAGGCATATGTAACAGAAAACATGCTGCGTGTTTGTTACATATTTGGTGCTTTATGTGAATTTTAATATATACAGACCCAGCAGTTCAACTTTTCTTGTAAGCAGGGAGCTAAAACCTAGAACTAGAAATGAAAAAGCATTTTAGCTCACTTTAATAACTAAATAACTAAAATCAATTCAAATGATCAAGATCAGTTTAAAATGGGTCAGTTTGTCAGCTACTGTAGACTCTACTCACAAAGAACCGCTAAGTTTTGTACAGTGTGACTTTGTAATGGGGAAAATTCTAGTTTATCCTCACATTTCGATTCAGGTGTTTAGTCACTGTAGGATTTTGTATAACCTTTTGTTTCTTAGATGAAGGGTGTGTGTGTTTCAATATGACCAGGTGTAACTGCTTAGCTATGCTTAACGATGTTTCACTATGTATCTACTGACTGTTAAGGTGTAGAAGGACAAAATTCCCAAGAAGACCAGTCCAGGTGCTTCCTGGAGCATAGGTAGTGGGAAGTCTTTCCTGCCCAGCAACAGTCGGGTGGGATGAAAAATAGTTGTAACTGAAAAGATGCAGGGTTTTGTGTGTGAGGGTATAAAAGAGACCTGTGACGCCTCAAGGACAAAGCTTTCATGACTGTAGAACTGTGATGTTTGATGTGCGTTTGCTCTCCTGCATGCAGTAAATAAAGCGGCTTGACCACAGCTGACCTTGTTGCAGACTTTATTAACAGAAAATTCCACCACAACATTCAAAGACATTCAAATTTCCATTTCCAGCAAAACTTTGCATATCATTTGGTTTAGTTGCTCATCTTTACTACTTCATTATCTGAATTAAAATAGAAGTCTTATTGTACACAATTATAATGAAATTTCAGAGCAGAGTCTTTGGAGCGAACATGCAGTAATTTGCACAGTAAATATAAATCATAACATATAAACACTGCTGAAAAGCATATTCAAGCCCATTCATATGTTTTGGCATTGTTTGTGGATTCAGATTCTTTTTTTGTGTGTTTTCTTTTTTTCAACAGATTTTTCTAAATCTCTTTGTGCTTTGAGTCTCTGTCTGGCTCAGTTCTGAAACATGCTTAAGAGATTTGGGGTTGAATTAGTGGTTTGTATAATCACAATGTTCGGCCTTTAACATTTACAGTGCACTGCTTTCCTTTTACCTCTGGTTTTAATTTGTAAAACAAAATGCAAACTATGTTTTCAAATGTTGTAATAGTTTCAGATTTTACTCGCTGTATTACTGATTTCTTTCTTATTTTCTTACAGCTGGTGATCTTCAACATCAAGGTAAGTTTAATACTGTGTTCATTGTGAAACAAAAACTGTAGGCCTGGTTTAGAGTTTATAGTTCATATAATTTCACAAATGAGTCATATAAATTACATTCACTGACTTCTTCCAGATCCTGTTTTTGAAGCTGGTAAAACCTACGTGTACAAGTATGAGGCGCTGCTCCTGGCGGGCCTGCTAGAGAAAGGTTCAGCGAGAGCTGGACTAAATATCAGCAGCAAAGTTAGCATCAATGCTATAGACCAGAACACATACTTCATTAAGGTAAAGATCAAAATCCTGCACAAGCTGCAGTCATTTACCTTTTACATGTATACTAATTGAATTAAACCTTACTCTTATATGAAAGCTTGAGGAACCTGAGCTCCAGGAGTATAGTGGAATTTGGCCTGAGGATCCTTTTATCCCAGCAACTGAGCTGACTTCAGCCCTCCAAGCTGAGCTCACGACTCCCATTAAGTTTGAGTATGTCAATGGTGCTGTGGGAAAAGTCTTCGCCCCTGAAACCGTCTCAACAACAGTGCTTAACATCTACAGAGGTATCCTGAATGTCTTTCAGCTCAACATCAAAAAGACACAAAATGTCTACGAGTTGCAGGAGGTTGGTGAAAGATCTTTATAAACCTGTGTGTGACAAGAAGTTGAATCTCCCTACTGAATATGTGTGCTGCTCTATAGGCTGGAACTCAGGGTGTGTGCAAGACACTTTACTCCATCACTGAGGACACAGAGGCTGAACGTGTCTATCTGAGAAAGACCAGAGATATGAACCACTGTCAAGAAAGAATAACTAAAGACATGGGGTTAGCATACACAGAGAAATGTGGAAAGTGCCAGGAGGTAGGTTTTACACATTTTATATCAGGAAACATCTGTGAAAGTGATGGGATGCATGACAAGCAACAGCTTTGTTCTTACAGGACACTAAAAACCTGAAAGGAGTTTCATCATACAGTTACATCATGAAACCACTCGATAATGGCATCCAGATCAAGGAGGCATCGGTCCATGAGCTGATCCAGTTCTCACCTTTCAGCGAGCAGCATGGAGCTGCCCATATGGAGACCAAGTATGTCCATAACAACTGTGAATACAAAAATTGATTCAAAGAACGTAAATGAACTTTTCTTTCCACATTCAAGGCAATCCTTGATGCTCCTTGAGGTTCAAACACCCCCTTATGCACCCACTACACCACCACCCCTGGCTCAGTATCCACACCGTGGAAATCTCACATATCAATTCTCCACTGAGCTTCTTCAGTTACCCATTCTGCTCCTCAATATCAGCGACATAGAGTCTCAGGTATTGTCGTAATTAAGAGATTATTGCTAAGGCATGAATTAAAAGTCTGTGCCGTGCTCGGTGATATCCTGTTTACCCCTGTGTCATTAGCTCGAGGACACTCTGAATCACCTGGTCAAACAGGCTGTAGGAAAAGTTCATGAAGATGCACCTCTGGAATTTTTGAAGTTTGTTCAACTCCTCCGTGCAGCCTCCAATGAAACTCTGGAGAACCTGTGGAGCAAACACTCAGGGAGTTCTGCCCACAGGTGATTTCACTGATTAAATGTTTAAAATATCATGTAAAGATATTTGCACAATTTGGCAAACTTCCTTTTTATTGTTTCAGAAAATGGATCATGGACGCCATTCCTGCTGTGGGAAATCCTGATGCTCTGAGATTTATCAAAGAGAAATACCTAGCAGAAACCATAACTGTGTTTGAAGCCGTTCAGGCTTTGATTACTTCGTTTCACATGGTGACAGCAACCACCGAGGCCATTGAGGTCATCGAGGTCGGTAAATCTCAACATATCTAGTGAAGTCAAGTTATTTTGTCCAGAGTAAGAAGGGACGTTTTTGCATTAACTCTGATACTCTTAACTCTGTGTGATGTTTTAGAGCCTATCAAAGGAAAGCAGCATCGCGAGAAACCCAGTTCTGCGCCAGATTGTATTCCTTGGCTACGGTACCATGATTTACAAACACTGCTATGAGAGGACTTCCTGTCCTGCTAAGCTCATACAGGTAATATAACATTGACCTTACATGCTGCCTTAGAATCACGTACACATTTAAGAATGAGAGAACGGGTGATTTACTTCCTTATTTGCTCTTACAGCCCATTCAAGACCTTCTTGCACAGGCTCTGAAAGATGGAAACACAGAGGACATCATCCTGTTTGTGAAGGCTTTGGGAAATGCTGCGCATCCTTCTAGCCTCAAGACAATCACAAAGATGCTGCCCCTACATAGTAAATTAGGTTCATCACTGCCAGTGAGAGTTCATGCTGAAGCCATGATGGCCTTGAGGAACATCGCCAAAAAGGAGCCTAAAACGGTGAATTATCAACGCAGAGATTTCCTGATCATTCTAGTTTTGCACAAAGCTCCACACTGAGTCTGCGTTCTCTCATACATTAGGTCCAGTATTTAGCCTTTCAGCTCTACGGGGACAAGACTCTTCATGCAGAGATCCGCATGCTTGCGTGCATGGTGCTCTTTGAGACAAAACCTTCAATGAGTTTGGTGTCAGCTGTTGTTCATATTGTGAAGACAGATACAAATTTGCAAGTAGCAAGCTTCACCTACTCCCACATGAAGTCCCTGACTTGGAGCACCAGCGTTATTTATGCCTCAGTGTAAGAGTGCTTTCTAATCCTTCGTCACAATCGGATAAATCTCTGTGATTTGATCCATCCTGCAGTGAGCTCTTTCATGTTATCACTGCAGTGCTGCAGCATGCAAAGCTGGCCTGAGAATGTTGGGCCCAAACCTGGACAAACTAAGCTCACGTTTCAGCAAAGCCATCCATGTCGACGTCTATAACAGTGAGAATCGCCGTGCCTGGTTTAACTAACCTGGATCTTTATTTTCGATTTAATAATGTTTAACTGCATCTCATTAAACTCTCTGTTAGGTCCCTTTATGCTTGGTGCTGCTGCGACTGCTTACTACATCAATGATGCTGCCACCATCATGCCCAAATCTATTACGTCTAGGATCAAGGCTTTCTTTGCTGGAGCTGCTGCTGACATTCTGGAGGTAAAGGAAACGGAAATCAGTCCAGATATTTAATAACTAACCTGAAAGTTACTTGTCTTTTTTTTTCTAGGTGGGAGTAAGAACTGGGGCACTACAGGAGGCTTTTCTGAAAAACCCAGCAGTTTTTGATAGTGCTGACAGGGTCACCAGGATGAAACATGTCATTAAGGCTGTAAGCAACACCATAAAGTTACAAGAACGACAGGGACATCTTATCTGCTATCTGCAAAATGAAACAGAAGACTAGTGATCAGCTGGACTGCATCTCTCTCTCTACAGCTCTCTCACTGGAAGTCTGCACCCAACAGCAAACCCCTGACTTCCATCTACGTCAAGTGTTTTGGACAAGAAGTTGCCTTTGTTGACTTTGACAAAAACTGGTTTGGCAACACCTTTAATGTACGATTTAAACAAACAACCCATCAACGTAAAGATCAGTTTAATCACGATTTTGCAAGACGCAATATTTATAAAATATTCTTCCCCTGCAGCTCATCCTTGGCAATAACGATGCTGACACGTTTGGTAGAGATGTTTTCAAGGCTCTGCAGTCTGGTCCTACTTGGCGCTTTGTTAAGCCTCTGCTGGCTAATGAGGTGAGACGTATCATGCCTACTATAGCTGGTTTCCCCATGGAGCTCGGTCTGTACACTGCTGCTGTGGCTGCTGTTCGTGGTCAAAGTGAGTGAATATTACTTAACGACCTAATATTTCCATCAACACCAAAACTTCTTTAAAAGTTTTGAGCATTTTTTTAAACTTCTTTCAAAGAAAGAAGAAGTTGCAAACTTCCTTTTAATAAATTAATGTGGAAATATCATAACAATGTGCAGAAAAGTAACTTTTCTCTTCTGTTTTCTTAGTCAAAGTCACGACAACTCCAGCTCTGCCAGAAGACTTTTATCTCAGATACCTTCTCAAGGCAGACATATACATTACTACCAAGGTCACGCCAAGGTGGGGCAATAGCTGTCGCTACAATAGTAAATGGCTAATACTTTATAACACAGCACATAACTAAGGGTTTAATTCTACCCCTGGAATCAAGTGGGAATTTCCAAGAATTTTACCTGAAATTATTTTACCTGAATGGTTCACACCAGCATAATGAATACTGAAATGTAAAAAGGCAAAGTTAAGCTACTTGATGGTTGGAGAACCTAAAATACAGCAGGTACCTGCAGTGTGAGATGGGGAAGCTCTCCACTGAAAATGGCTTAATTTTGTGTTTGTGCCTCAGTTTCTGTAAAATACCTGAAGTTACGCACTACTTAAAATTACTTATGCATTACTCAAAACTCTTCATGTACTATTTAAAATGACTGTGAAGGTTCTCAGTCATCCAGGTCATCGTAGTCAAAGGAGCTTGCAAAGAAAAGCGTCTGGACTTCTTTAAGTTACTTGAAGACGTTTCACCTCTCATCCGAGAAGCTTCTTCAGTTCTAAGGTCAAATGGTGGAGAGTTCCCTTTTGAGATCCCTCCCCAGACGCCTTAACGCCCACTCACATCCTGGGCCATCTGACCTCAGGAATTCGCATGATAAGGTGGGGCCAGGTTTCACAATGAACACACCCGAAACTCTGGCTGATTGGGACCCACACCCAGTTTCACACCTTGGCTCAGGCGACTAGAGGATCATCAGGGGTCCTTTTGTCCCTCTGTGGGGGGTCACTCCCACTAGGTTTATATCTGGGACTCTCCACCATTTGACCTTAGAACTGAAGAAGCTTCTCGGATGAGAGGTGAAACGTCTTCAAGCAACTTAAAGAAGTCCAGACGCTTTTCTTTGCAAGCTCCTTTGACTATTTAAAATTACTTTCAGTGTAATTTGTGTCTCTTTTCTTGCAAAATAACCAAAGTTACACACTGCTTACTCACTTTTATTGCTACTTCTGTACTGTTTAAATTGCTTACAGTACAATTTGTCTTTTCCTGGAAACACAATACTTATAACTACTTGCATACTACTTAAAGTTACTTATCCATGAATTTCCTTGTTTTCTTAAAATGAAAAAAAATTAAGGTACAATTTGTGTCTCTTTTCCTGTAAAATACTCAAAGATACGCACTACTTGAATTTTCTTAAGCAATATTTAAAGATATTAGAATAGAATAGAATAGAATAGAATAGAATAGCCATTTATTGTCATTGTACATGTACAACAAAATTGCAGATGCTCCACACTATTTGTGCCAAAATAAAATATAAATAGTGTACAGCAGGAATATATACAATCAAGAGGGATATATACAAAAATAAGGGAAAGGCGCACGTTAGACAACAAAATAGTTGCAAACAGGTTGGAAGTAGTGCAAAGAAAAGGTCTGAATAGAGTCTGTGTGCAAGCGACCTGAGTGATGCAGGTATTTCTGTACTATTTAAAATTACTCACATTATAATTTGCATGATTTATGTCTCCATTCCTCTAAAATACCTGAAGTTACATGCAGATTAAAGGTATGTGTGCATAATGTAAAATTACTAACAGTGTAATTATTATTTTCTTGTAAAAAACTTAAATTATTACCCTTATGCAACTGAGTCTACCTCTGGGTATTTGTTGGTAAATATAATTATATTGTAATTTCAGGTGTAATATAAGGAAATTCCACTTATTTCTAGGGGAATTAACCTCTTGGGCGCCGGCTGTATTATGACGTGTTACCAACAAATGTAATATAATGTTCAACTGTCCTCCTCTTCTAGTGCGGCTGTGAACACATTTGCTGTGTTCGGGATAAACACTGCCATACTCCAGGCTGTCATGGTATCAAGAGCCAAACTCTACTCCATCGCACCTGCCAAAACTGAAGTCACATTTAACATCAATGAGGGCTACTTAAACTTCACAGCTCTTCCTGTTTCAGTGCCTGAAAACATTACCGCTGTGGAGTAAGCCATGACATCTTTAATTTATTGCATATTCTTAAACATCGCTTCTGAGATGCTTTTACCTTTGCACTGATGATTACGGTTCATCCTTGCTTCTCTTTAACAGGGTTGAGACTTTTGCTGTGGTAAGAAATCCTGTTTCGGGAGAAAGTATCACTCCTGTGATCCCTGCCAACCCAAGACAGATTCTTATATCGAATAACACTTCTTCTGATGCTGCTAATGAGGTGAATTTAAAACCGTTTTAGAGATATAAAAAAATATTGTGTCTTTTTTATGTAATTTACATACTTTCTCCTCACAGTCGAGATCCGCAGAGTTCATTTCTCAACGTCAGAAAGCTGGCAGGCACATCAAATCTAAAATGGTGAAGAGTAAGAAGAAGTACTGCGCTCAGACTGTTAACGCTGGACTCAAGGCCTGTCTCAAGATTGCCACTGCTCACACGGGGGATGCTGCAGTGTATAAACTGGCTGGAAAGCACTCTGCTGTTTTTTCTGTCATACCAAGTAAGAACTTAGAAAAGTGCTTTTTCTAGTGACACAGTGCAGAAATTAGCTGCTAACCGCATTAACTGATGATGCTTTCAGTCGAAGGTGAAGCTGCTGAGAGACTGGAATTAGAGGTTCAACTTGGAAGTAAGGCTGCACAGAAGATCATCAAACACATCACCCTTAGAGAAGAAGAAATCCCCGAGGAAACACCAGTCTTAATGAAGCTCCACAAAATCCTGGCCTCTACCCAGAAGAATAGCACCATGTCCTCCTCCTCGTCGTCCTCCAGTTCCAGGAGCTCTCGCCTTCCTGGCAGCTCCTCTTCCTCTAACTCCAGCTCTTCATCCCATTCTAGCAGGAAGACCATTGATGCAACTGCTCAACAAGTCCAGTTGGTGAAAAGACGTTACAGCAGCAGCAGTAGTAGTAGTAGCAGTAGTAGTAGTAGTAGTAGTAGTAGCAGGAGTAGCAGCAGCAGTAGCAGCAGCAGTAGCAGTAGTAGTAGAAGCAGCAGAAGCGTAAGTAGTAGCAGCAGAAGCAGCAGTAGTAGCAGCAGCAGTAGTAGTAGTAGTAGCAGTAGTAGAAGCAGCAGTATCAGTAGTAGTAGAAGCAGCAGCATAAGTAGAAGCAGCAGCAGCACAAGCAAAAGAAGCAGCAGCTTCAGCTTCTCCACCTCTGTCGGTACTTCCAAGTCCAGCTTTGCATCAAGCTTTGCGTCGCTCTTCAGTCTTAGTTCAAGCTCTTCTCACTACAGTGTGCACCACAGAAAGGTAAACATGCTGTATTATATTCAGACAAAGAGCCGCTTGAGCTGTCACTACTACTGTTTGAATATTTATATTGTATAAGTCAGCATTTTATTAATATTCTGTTTTCTATCTATAGTTTTAATTGATTTGAAATCTCATAGTTATCTGAGTATATATGGCCACTGTGGTTGCTGACAAAATGTTTCTTCATAGCAACCTGCGAGTCATCGCCACAAATCGAAGGAGAATCACAAAGAGAAACACAAAGAGAAGCACAAGAAAAACCACAAGGGTCACAAGACTCCAGTGAGAACCCATTTACACCATGTTTGAAGTATGACAATACTGCACATTGTACAGTTTGCACAGGTGGTAACTTGTGTTGTCTTTTGCGTGGCACTATATGGCATTCTTGTAGCATCACACCTCTAAAGCCACATCATCAGAGGTTTTCAGAAGCAGAAGCAGTGGCTCAAGCTTGGACGCTATCCAACATAAGGTCAAATCCCGTCAAATCTTCTTTCCGGCGAGGGATTTTATGGATGTACTCACATGAATAGTTGTCCCCACAGAAGCGGTTCCTTGACAGTCAAGCTGCCGTGTTTGGCATGATCTTCCGTGCTGTTAAAGCTGACAAGAAGAAGCAGGGATACCAGTTCATTGCTTACATGGACAAAACCACCAGCAGACTTCAGATCATTCTAGATGACATTGTTCCTGATAACAACTGGAGGCTCTGTGCTGATGGAGCCGTGTTGAGCATGCACAAAGTCAAAGTGAGACACTGTCCGCCTTATTTTTGGATGTTGAACTAAGCATAGCACGAAAAAAACGAACCTAAACCTTTCTGCCATTTGTCATTTCGATTTGTTCTTTCTAGGCTAAAATGAACTGGGGAGCAGAATGCAACCAATATGACACCGCGATTACAGCGGAAACTGGTCTTGTCGGTCGAAACCCTGCAGCTCGGTTGAAGGTGGACTGGAATCGGTTACCGTCTGATCTCAAGCATTGTGCAAAGACGTACGAAACTTCACAGACACTGTCACGCATGTCATACAGACAATATGAAACCATCTGATATCTGTAAATTCCTTTGCAGGATGTATAAGTACATTTCTGCTCACATGCCAGCCGGCTTGATTCAGGAAAAGGACAGAAACAGCGACAAGCAGCTCTCGCTTACTGTGGCTGTAGTATCTGACAAGATCATCGACCTGATTTGGAAAACACCGAGAGTACGAACAGCAAAGTTGTTGTTTCAAAATCATATGTTTTGATTTTTCTCACAATAATTATTCTGTTTACAGAGCACTGTTCATAAGCGGGCTTTGCATCTTCCCATCACTCTGCCAAGTAACGAGATCAAAGATCTTACTCCCTTCGGTGACGTCTCTGGAAAGGTCAAGCACTTGTTAGCTGCGGCTGGCGCAGGTAATGGCTCGTGCCTGTCATTTAAACGTGGACAGGCTGTGTCCTTTTCTGACACATCATTTTTTCCCCCTCCTCAGTTGAATGTAGCTTCACCGGCAATACACTGACCACATTCAACAACGAGAAATTAAAGAACGAGATGCCCTCAAACTGCTATCAGGTTCTGGCACAGGACGGCACAGACGAGCTGAAATTCATTGTTCTACTGAGGAAGGATCGCACTGAACACAAGCAGATCAGTGTGAAAATTGCTCACATGTAAGATTTCATTAAAAACACGAAAGAAACTCTGGTTTTTGACAAAACTGAGTCTTTTTATTTCTTCTCGTGCAGAGACATTGACCTCTATCAGAGGAGAACCAGTGTGACTGTGGATGTGAACGGGCTGGAAATACTCACGAGCAACCTGCCCTATCATTATCCCCGAGGTTTCTATGCAGTCTAAAACCTTTGAATCGGATTTTGCAAACTACCATCAAACCTACGATCAAATTTTATCCCAGATCTTTGTGTTGAAAAAACGAGAGTAATCATGGAACCTTTTTGTCTTACAGCTGACATCCAGATCAAACAAAGTGGCGAAGGCATCTCTGTGTATGCAGCTAGCTTTGGTCTTCATGAAGTCTACTTTGACAAGAAGTCATGGAAGGTAAAAGCAAAACTGATAACTTTGGTTATGAGCTTAAAAGGAAAAACGAAAAAGACCAAGCGAGATGGAAATTCAGTTAAAATTGACGTCTGATTAATCACGTGATCCTACGATGCAGATTAAAGTTGTGGACTGGATGAAGGGGAAGACTTGTGGGCTCTGCGGAAAGGCTGACGGGGAGACCATGCAGGAGTATCGCACACCCACTGGATGGATAGCCACGACAGCAGTGAGCTTTGCTCATTCTTGGATTCTGCCAGCTGAGAACTGCAGAGACGCCACTGGTAAGACAAAGATATCTGATGTAATCATGGCAAGTCTTCTAAAGAATAATATACTGAATCTATCAGGAACCCTAAAATCCCTGCTGTGTTACAGAGTGCCGTATGAGGCATGAATCGGTGCAGCTGGAGAAGCAGGGAAACATGCAAGCTCAGAACTCCAAGTGCTACTCTGTCGACCCTGTACTGCGCTGCATGCCTGGGTGCTTCCCTGTGCGCACCACCAGCGTCACTGTTGGCTTCCACTGCCTTCCAGCTGGTGAGTCTACAAAGATTAAAAATGCAACATCGTGGAGAAAAACACGGAGTTTCTAATTATTTTTGCTCCCTTCACGTCCGCAGGTTCCAGCCCCTCCAGCGTGTATAAGAGCGTGGACCTGATGGAAACTACGGAGAGTCACCTCGCCTGCACCTGCACAGCTCAGTGTGCTTAACAACAGCACTGTCAGTCTCAGACATTACATGTATGTTTTGAATGTTATTTTAAATAAAGTGAATCTCCAGATAAACTTACTGAGCTAAAAATGAACTCTGGCGAATTTCAAAAGGAAAATCTGTACCGAATAAGACTGTTTATTACATTTATTGTAACACAGAGACAATAGAAATGAGATCATCTGTGAAATAAAGTGTGAAGCTGAACGCACCCATATAAATTCAGTAATTGCCAGTTTTCCTTCTGGCTTAAATAAGTGATCCATATTCTCCATCCACTTCCCTGCTTTCTGTGATATCATCCACATAAATGCTTCCCTTATACAGTGTGGTGACTGCAATTAATTTGCACATGCCAGATGACAAGTGTTGTGTAATTCTCCAAATTTTGGTATCGATCCAAACACTGATAGTGGGACTACTAACATATAAAGGCAGCTTATGTAGAGAAGAGCTGTACGTTATCATTTATTAGATACATCACAATCATTTTGCAAATTCTGAACGCCTTTTAAAGACTTCTACTGTGATTTTTACTTTGCACAATAATTACTTAAGCCACTAAAACACACCTTTCAGCTTTTTGTGTAATTTGAAAGATTTTTTTGGACATGGAATGTAAATATGCCTGTTTCCAAAGAGCTTTGGGTCAACTTCTGTTGTTTAAATGTGCTTTAGGCTATGAATGAAATTGAACTTAAGAGGATAGAAACAAAGTATTGATCTGATACCAATACCAGCATTGGTGTCGAAACTATTTGGATCAATCCGTCCACCTCTACTGTTGACTTCGAATGAACTAGTGATTCAGAAACACACACATAGTGATGTCCTAAAGTCAACAGAAGTTTTGTATGCACTCAGTTTGTGCAAAGGAAGAACATTGAAACACACATTAATGAATGATGCCGTGTTTAGTATACAAAACCAAGTGTATTCTATTCATATAGATAAAGTATTTTATTTTACCTCTTAATAAACACACCCATTGAATGGCTATAATTATTGGTGCCATGGTATTCTTCTTATAGTGCATTTTGTTTTCCAGTCTCAGTCCACCACAGAGGAATGGGAACCAGGAGAGGCAGTGATGATTAAAAAAAAATCAGTGATTACTTCCCCGATAGAAGTCAAAACTATAATGAGCGTGAACATGAACATGTCATTTAACATTTGAGAGGAAAATAACGGCCACCTGTCAACACAAAGCTCCTAAAAGAAAAGTGACATTAAAGAAACAAATTGTTTCATGACAAATCATATTAACGTCACAGTGGACTAAAGTCACTATCTCCTACATAATATGTAAATTGTGCAAGATGTTACATTCTTCCTATTCAAAGCAGCAGATAAACTACCTGTTACAAACCTAACAGCAACATTTACTGGAAAAATGAGCTGTCACTCAGTCACATTCTCAGTGTTGTAAACAGAGTCGGCATACTTGATTTGATTTACCCAGTCACATATTGTCACATATTGCATCAGCAGCATCTAAATGTAAGATATGCCAATTTATGATTTACAGTACCATAAATAAGTAAACTAACTACATACTATATGCAGTACATTAATACAGATCCAGCAAACCAGAACGTCACTCTTAACGCTCTTTCCTTCTTAAGCTGTTTAATCATTTTACAGTCCATCTGTGGGCCTTTGGCATCCACCCATCAGACGCATCAGACATAAACACTGGACATGATACGTCTGATTCAAGTGAACGGAGTTTTTGGCTTCAGATGGAGCTGTTCTTGTCCTGTGAGAGTGTGTGGTCCTCGCTGTACTCCCACTGTTGGTGCTGGACGAAAACATCTCCACAAAACGTGCCCGATTCCTCCACATGTTCCCCGTTTGTCTTTGGTTGCACTGAGCTGCAATCACATTGAGGGGAAAACTTCAAATTAAGTTCATGCAGGTACATTATGCCATGCTTATTACTAATTCAGAAACTGTGGTACACATAAAGCAACCACACCTGTTTTCTGGGATAAAGCAAAGCGTGCGACACAGGTCAGTGGTGGAAGCCGACGCGAGCGCGACACACCTGGGTGTGGGGGAGGCTGTGTCTGAAGGACATTTGATGAGCTTTTCTGGAGCCACCGTCGCAGCCGCCTCTGTTTCAGCTGCTGGGGAAAAAAGAGGCTGATTTAATGACTGCTGGAATTGATGGAAATTACTCATCACTTAAAAAGAAACTTAGTCATAAGTCTATTTGGATATATTTTCCTTTTTTCAACTCCTGTCAATACGTAACATTTTCAAACCATCTAAAGCAACTGCTGCTCTTCATTTTAGGGAAACTGATAGAAAACTGAGAGACTCACATATCAAAAAGGCACTTTTAGATTTTAACAATGGGGTTTTCTTTGAGTCTGCAAATGGACTCAAGTTTAAAAACTGGTGTTTGAGCCATGTTGCCCGATCCTCCTCAAAGGCCTTCCTCTGCAAAATGAACCCAAAAAAAGGTTTTAAAAACAGTTCAAGCATCTTACCTGTCATATGCACACAACTTTGCACAAGATGTAAACTAATATTTGTTTTTAATCACCTCGTGGCTCAGTCTGATGGCTGCCTCTGTAAAGTTCTTCCTCTCCCTCTCAAAGATCTTCCTCTGCTCCTCCAGAGTCTTCCACTCGTCCCCGAGGCGCTCCTTCTCTTGAAGCATGTAGCAATTGCTTAGCAGGGATGCGGTTTCCTCATCACATGCAGAGCTTACCTGATGCTATAGGAAAGAAAGGAACGTGGATGAATTAATCAACAATTTATTGATTATTTATAAAACAAAATGAGTTTCAACCAAAACACAAACAACAGTAAGTCAGGTGTTCATTCCAGAGTAACGTGAGAAGTAGCAGACATCTCTGATCCTGTTTTTGGTAAATGTATTTTCCTTTCACTCAACACCGATAAATATTAAAGACACTTTCTCTCTGTGTGTGCAAATTTCAGCTTTTAAATCCACACAACCTCAGGGCTAATTCACCCGTACCTGCAGGAGCTGCTGCTGTGTTTGAATAAAGTCTTTGCACTGCTGGATCTCCAGCTTTAGTCTGTCCATCTCTTCCTCCTGAGTCTCTTGTGGAACAGCATCAGTGTTTTTGCTTTCCACCATCTGAACCAAGGATGCTAAGCAAAAAGCCCAAATAAACATGTCTTATAAATACTGAATTCAACAAGAAGGAACAGTAAGTAAACATCAAACACAAAGTGACAGAGCCGCTGTATATAAAATATTCAAACCATTCATTATCTTTTGCTTCCAATCAGCTCATAACATTTCTTGATTTTAACAGACAAAAAAACATAACAGGTCCATGTGTGAATACTGACTTTTAATTCTTTGAGCAATCACAGCAGAGGCTTCAGTTAATAATTTAAACAATTATTTGAATTAGTGAGGAATCGTTGATGTCACAGTATTTTACCCTGGCTGTCCAGTCTTTCCACGTGGCTCTTAAGTCTCCTCCACTGGAGACGAATACTGTTGGTCAGTTTCTCCCGGGCATGAAAGCAATAAAGCTCTACACTTTCCTTACTGGAATCGAACACCTCTTCCTCTTCCTCTTCCTCCTCCGATGTGGCCTGGAGTGAATAAATAAATCAAACATTTTCCAGTCTCCTGGTAGCACATCTAACAAACATTTTTGAACGACTAAGTGAAACAAAGAAGGAGGCTGATTGTTTGAAATTGCGAGGAAATGTCATCAGCGGCTTTAAAATGTGACGGAAGAGTCGCAAAAGAAAAATACAAAGTATACAAAAGGTGATCAAACACTACCTGTACGCCACTGTGTTCAGGTTTGTCGCTTTTCGCAGCTGGTTTTCTTGAACTTAGAATGGACACCATGTCTTTTTTTATCTGCTGCAACACTTTCCTCAGCTCTGCATTTTCCAGCACGAGCTCTCTGTGGCGAGCGTCATAGTCGCTCAGCAGAGTCTTATACATTTCCCCTTCATGCCTTATGAAGAGAAACACAGGTCTCTTATCAGTTAGACAGTTGCGCTCAATTTAAGAGGAAACATCCAAGATTAGTGCCAGCCATGTTTGAGGTTCATGCTGCCAAAAATGTTCATTAGAGTGACCTAGAAAACTGACAAAGGCACTAATCTGCTTCTTGTTTGAGGCTCCAAAGTATAGCGACTAACATAGAGGAGTGTCTCTGATCCAAAAAAGGTTCACCTATGTATCTAGGGTTCTCAGAGTGCCACTGGCCACCCTTACTAAGAGTTTATGCAAGCAACAAAGAAGATTGAGCAGAGGGGTCATTTCTCTAATGCCAACTTTCCACTCTCCAGTCATCTTAGTCACACAGGTCTAGACATCAGTGTCTCTAGGCGAGTGGTTATTGGAGGTTGCTGGTCAATAGGTGAACATAATCACAAAGAGGTATGCAGTGATGCACCAAAGACCACCTTATGATTAATTTGGTCACTAGCAGATAGCCGCGGTTACTGTAGCTGTCAGGCTGTCTGCAAACACTTGCCAACTACTCACCGAGTGCTAGTTAAACTGTGGAAGGTGCAACACAAACTGGAAACTGAGAATTTTGGCACTCGGAGTAAAGGTTGTGCCTCAACACTGCAACCAGTAAATTTTTAAAAATTGCAACTATTCAAGAATTAGTTGGAGAATATGCATTTTGCCCAGTCTCTAGGATCATGTGACTAAGGCAGTATCAGACTGAACCTCTATAACTTTGACACATACAATCAATCTTCACACTAACAGTTAAATGTTAGTAATTTAACTTGATTCTTTGCAGTCAAAACCCAGATTTGACATATAAAAGAAGTGAACTTACTTTGCTTCTGTCTTTTCAGTTTTCCAAAGGCTTCTCTTCCCATCAGCTCTCCCAATGTTGTTTAATACATCAATGGCTGAAGAGCCCGGAGAACAAATGTGGGAAAATAAGAAATTCTGAGACTTGAAAGGACAGAAGTTTCACCTCTCACACACAAGACATTGAATTAACTATTGATGCAACGAATGATGTAAAGAGGATTTTACCCTGTTTCTTCTCCTTTTTGTCAACCAGCAGCTGATTCAGTCGTTCCTTCAGTTTGTTAAATTCTCTTTCCTTCCTTTTCATCTCGTGATTGTACTGGCTGGCCCGGCTTGCAATAATGTTCTGAAGCTTTTGAACCTAGGGGATTGTGAATAAAAGAAACTGTGACTTCTAATAAAATTGGCGCCCTTTCTCCTGAAACCCAAATACCAGACCATGAAAGCCAGATTGGTCTCACACTGTCTGTGGCAGCACTTAATAAAAATACCTCTTCTTTTTCATTCTTCAGACAGCTCTGCAAACTTTTTGCTTTCAGCTGCAGCTGCCGTTCTCTCTCAAGAAGTCCCGTGTTTTCTCTTTTAGAGAGTTCGAGCTGCTCCTAAAAAATAATACAATGGGCAGGAACTCAGTAAAAGACCAGAAGTGTTTTGGAGAGCTTAACAAAAGGATGCACATCACAATGTTTTTTCAGAAATAAAAGGAAGAAACAAAACTCTAATGCCAATTCACCAACAGCACGTTGCTTTACTACAGATAATGCTACCTGTGTTTTTCAGGTGAGCTAGTGTACCTTCAGATGAGTGATGGTGAGCTGCAGGTGATCGATACTGCTGCTAGATTTAAGCTGCTCCACTTCCATGCTTTCAAGGGTTCTGAGGCCCCGGCGCTGCAGCTGAATCAGGTCATACATGCAATTTAGCACAGCCACAATATTCAGCTCTGAGCTGTCGCCCGACTCTGTCCAAACTGGTGGGAGGCCAAGAGAAGATATTTCCTTTAAAGGCAGAGCAAAGGGAAAAGTGTGAAGGAGGACTGACACAAATTCTCTCTGTCTTGTGTCCCTGAAAACATTCATTCAAATAAAGATTTTCTTTAAAGGCTAATTTGTTTTAGCAGTACAAGACAAACCCAGGAGACTGCAGTCACGTACACGTTTCAATAGGGCACCTAACATCAGTAACAGCTGTGGTAATGTGCAAGGCTACCAAC